TGTAAAAATAAAATCCCAGCAGAAATAAATTTACTAGGTATTTTAGTTGGTATTACAAATTTTATTGTAATGGCAAGAAACTTAATTTTAAAAAAAAACATGTCAAAATTGAGATTACTACAACTTACCTAATAAATTCTACTATTTCTACGGCAAATTCAGTCATTTACAATCGAAAAAGTATCTTTTGTGTTGTCATAAAAATTTAGATTTCTCCGTGTATCCTCCAAAATCATCTTTTCTTCATTAGATAGGTTTTTCAATTTTCTTTTTAATGAACCACAATAGTTACTTTTGATATTATGTTATTTTATATTTTTTGTCCTTCCTAATGTTCGTTTTTGTTTTCTTCGAAAATCTATGTAATCTATCTACATAACAATATTTTCAGTAAAGAAAATAGAAGCTCCTTGAGAGGTACTTAATTTTCGATTAATAGCAGATCAGCTACCTTGAACTTTGATAAAAACTTTAAGTGTAATTTGTCATTCAGTTTTTTTTGTTAAAAAAAATAATGATTTAATGAGTCGGTCGAGTTAGAAAATTAGCATAAGCATTATGCGCGTATTAATTTGATTAATAAAGGGATTAAATATCGACTAATCTTGACCAATTGCGTAATTTCTTTTGATCAATAACATTGTGAGTAGGTAATAAATAATTTCGAAATAAATTAAATTTAAACGAAACTCAATAACCTCATTTCAATGTTAATTATCGTATTTATAAATTATTTTTACTTAAATTATGATGGTAACGTTAGGTTTCATTTTTAAGGTTTAAAAATACCTACCCAAAGGTGAAATAAAATGATTGTTACTAAAAACCTATCATTGTCAATATAGGCCATGTAAATATATTGACGCACCCTCAAATATTCACGAAAAGACTGCATCGCTCTACAGGTCTGACGAAGGAAGCTGGCGAGCGGTCGCGCAGGTACTTGCCCATTTATGACCTAAGTCACTTGGAACCGATACACAAATAAGCTTTCAGTAGGCGTAAATTATAGTATTAATACAGATGCGTAGCGTACTAGAAAATAATGTAAAAATATGACTTATCAAGAAGAAAAAATTAAGCTATTGCTTTTGTTTTAAAGTTATTTTTCACATTCACTGTCATCATGGGAATCTCTATCACTGTCACCAACATCAACAATTAGTTCTTCTGTTTGTATGTCTATTACTTACTCACTGATCCCTGCTTTTATATATTTAATCTACGGCCCTGATAGGAATACTGAAGAAAGAGGGCTACAATCGTCATACCAAAAACTGCCTACTTTTGCCACCGCGCATCCACGCCATTTTAAAATTTCCGCCAGCTTCCAGCGTCAGGCCTGTATTTAAGTTTAATCACCGATCCAAACCCGAAATTCTGTTCTCTGATCGCCTCGCCTGATGGAGAATTCCGCTTTTGGGTGGCCGTTACTAATAATACCGGATTCAGTTTGATTGGTAGCTTTTAAAATTGTAATTCATAAAAATTAATGCGTAATTATGACAAATAACTGTATAGTCTAATCGGATACATTAGTGATTTTTAAAATTACCATAAATAAGTACTTCAATCAAATCTGTATCAAAATTTTCGAGAAGTACAAAACACAAGTCTATATCTAGCATACATTTATGAAACAAGTACAAACTTTTTATGTACGGAAAAACGAAGAACTATTTATTATAAGGAACAAAAATTAATTATGGCTTCTCTATCATTGCTAAATTTTTATACATTATTGTTTTTTATTTTTATTTTCGGTAAAATTTAAAAAGATTTTAACTGTTCTCATTTAATTGGTAGATTTTAAGAACATAGTGGTCTGCGGGACCAGTCGAAATTTATCTTTTAATTATATTTCTTTTATGTTGGTTTTATGTTTTATGTCCCTCCCACACTGGCCTATATAAATAGAACCCGTACATCTATGTAACTGATATAATATTGCGCCGCATTTATTTTTATTTCATTAAAGAACATATGTTGAAATGTTGGAGACGATTGTTCAGTTAAATTGAAACATGTATTTCAATTAAATTTATGTATTTCTTCTGGCGAAACCGTACCATTGAGCTTAATGACACCCGAACATTTAGGGCGGAAACGTACTATATTTTTGACTATGGGGCGAAATTGTACCCTGCCCATATCAGGTAATATAATAGCAGTGTTTCAGTTTAATTTTACTTTTTTTTTATCGTTAGAGATAGATTTGCTTATCATTATTCAACCATTGAGCGGCATGGCCTAGAGGTTTAGAGTCCATTGCTTAGCATTCGGGAGGACGCCGGTTCGATTCCGGGTCCATCTGCCTTGGTCCGAGTTTTCTGTGGTTTCCTTGTATCTCTTAGACAAATGCTCGGACAGTAATATTCCACAGATAATCTTTCATTCTCTTCTGTCTTCATTTCGTCCGTCTCATCTTTTTCACCTGAACCACCACCCACCCATTCCCACGATTCCTGAAAGGAGGCTGGAGTAGGGTTTGCCCTACTGTCCGGCGTAGTCCGGAGCGACTGTTCGCCTACCAGCATTAGCGGTTGGAGGGCATGAAACATCCAAAAGTTTTTTTTTTATTCTACCTATTTAATTTTATTATGTTGGAAATTTTTATAATTTCTAATACATACAAGGTAGTCAAATGTTCTTTTGCAAACAATAATAGACTGATTTGGTCCTAACGGTCAGGTTTTTTTGTTCTTTGTTAATTTTATTATCGATGCTCAATTGTATGCAGGTTACAGGAATTTTATAACTCGAGGCAGAGTCATTCCTTGTTCGGTTTTTCCCCTCACTGGCTTCTGGTTCGTATTCTTTTGTTGCATACCAGATATTGGTAGTGACGCCAGAACAATTTTTAACTTTGTCATATAATTTAGAGTTGGTTACGTTTTATCTTTCATCTTGTTAACTTGCGTTTTTAATTCATATTTTATTTTTAATTTGGAAATAAAGTGTGTTTGTGTTGAGTTTCATTTTCACTCCGTTGAAACCAACCTTTTGAGAAAATGCTGCTCGTAATTTCACGGCAAATAAGCTGTCTATTTTCAAAAGCCATCTATACATATAAGAACGAATACGTTCGAAATCGCGATCGAAATATTTCTGATCAAGAGCATAATGCTCTTTATGTAATATTGCTTGTGTACTATTAATTTTTCTTTGTGTTTGTTTCAGATTTAAGTAAGATGGCGTGGCTTGATCCGGACCGGTAACATCGTTTGTTCGTTGGTCGCTTCTTTATAGTATCAATGTAGACGTTTCGAGACTTCGAACGGCCACGATGGACTTGAAGCAAGACCTGATCTACCAGGAGGACCATCTTCTGATAAAGACCGAACCGCGGTTGCATAGCCCCGGAGGCGGCGGCGGTGGTGGTGGTAATGGTGTCGGTAATAACGCATCGTCTTCGGTGTCGCACGCGTCAACCATCGTGACCACCAACACCCTCAACAATTCATCAACCACTAGCGTCCTATTACCGAACAGTAACGGCCTGGTTACTATTGCTACCATACCGAGTGACGGCTTGATCGGCGTTTCTTCAAATGTTCTCGATACCATCAATAGTAACATTATAACCGTGACGAGTAACGCGCTTAATAGTAACGTGATAACGGGCGGTAACAGTATCGCGGGTGCGACCTTGAACACTAACGGATTGACCGGTACGAACCTGTTCGTTGGAACGACGAGCGGCAGCGGAAACAAGCGGTCGCGTAACGACGATTGGTTAAGCTCGCCGAGTCCGGGCGCCGTTAGCGTCTCCGTGCCTCCCTTGACGCCGTCGCCCGGGCCACCCTCGCATACTTACACCACCGTTATCAGCAATGGATATTCCTCGCCTATGTCCTCCGGCGGTAGCTACGATCCCTACAGTCCGAATGGAAAAATAGGTAAGCTGTTTTTTTAAAAATGTTCATATAATATTCCATTACAGCAGAATCTTTCTATCACATATATATTCATTTATTCTTCTTCATTAATGACCTGCTAATGCTACCTCTAAAGTAATTCGTTCCCAAAATCCGTCAGATTTGATCTGATCGAGAATTATTTTGAAATTAAAAAATACCTAAAAACTTAAAATCCGAAGGTTATCCGACGAATCCGCTAGTATTCTTTTCTATTCAAAGACCAGATTAATTAAGTAGAAAAATAAAGAAACAATTGCTTTCAAATAATTTTCTTCCCTTGCATACAATACTGTTTTGTGAATACCGCTTCCATTTTATTTAAGACTAACTCCTCTTTACTAGATGGTAATACTGCTATATCATCTGCAAATTTAAACATACTAATATTTTGCCCCTCTATATCTATCCCTACAATTGTCCTGTCTTTAATGATATTGATTGTGTCTTCGATGTATACATTGAAAAACAGCGGTGACAGTGTGCATTCTTGTCTGACTCCCTTTCTAAGATTTATTACATTACTGCTCAACCTCTATAATTGTCTGTGCTATTTATTTCTAATAATGAAATTAAATTTCATGGCACACCCTTGTATCGTAGAAAAGCAATTCTGATACCCAATAAGGATAAGAAATAAAGACTAATGATTCTCGATAGTTTTTGAAAAGAATCCTGCAAAAAGATTTTAGGCAATATTAAAAAAAAAAATTTTCTAGTTTTGATCGGAGTTTTGAACTCCCTAAAACCCCAAAACTTTCAGGCGCTGGTCATTTTTTGACTTAAAACATTATTCAGCGACTCGTAAGCCTACAAACGTTCTTTCCACCCTATAAGAAGTTTTCAACCCAAACCGGGATGTTTGGCGAATTACAAGACTAAAAATTACTTCTTTGTAGGAATTACGAGTTTCTATAAAAATTCTGGCTAGATCTATCCCCATATGGGTGTTTCACATCTCTAGAACTCCAGGATGCTGGTCTTTTTTCGACCGAATAGGGGATATTTAACGAGCTGTAAGCCTAAAAATCAGTATGTCTTACGAATTACGATTTTTCCATCCTAGAACATCGGAGGTGTTGGCAATTTTTCTACTGAAAACGGATGATTTGGCGAGTTGCAAGCCTATAAATCAGTATCTCTTCTTATAAATTACCAGTTTCTATAGTAGTTCTTGCTAGAATTATCCCCGTCTATTGTAGAAACTCTTTAATCTTGTAACTTGTTGAAAATCCCGTTTTACACCCTGGAATTCTCAATTGGAGATATTGGAGAAGTTCTAGAACTACTACAGTTACTCGTGTTTAGTTTAGATTCAGCGTTAACAAATTTTGAAGTTTAGATCTCGTAGGTAAAATCTTTATTGACGCTATTTTTCAGTTAACTTTTGAAAAATTAAGCGAAAATACAAAAAGAAAGCTTTTCTATACAATCCTTTAGGAACTGCCCAAAACTCCTGCGGAAACTTGAAAAATTTTCACAAAATTTTTTTGCAGGACATTGCAAAAGTGATCGGTAACTTTAGAACTCCTTATTTGTTATCCTTCTTCGTTTTTCTACGATAAAAAGATGCGGCATGAAGTTAGCATTCCGAAATTTTACTGATGTTATTATTAAAAATGCATAATTATCGGTGCACCCCCCATCGAGAACTGTAGAATTATCTCTAACTAATAACCCATAAAAAAATTGATAATTGATTAATTAGGGGTGCCAACTTCCTGGTGATCTTTATGCTTAAATATTTTTGATAGCATGGTGGAGCTTTCCTTGTTGATACTGCCAAAATAGTGAAAATTTGCGTTAATAAGTATTTCTGCTTCACCGTCAAACTTTTTAATTTTCATTTCTAGATATATCAGTTTTGTTAAGCCCTAAGCTAACCCTAATTAAAATAGTGACAATTCAAAATTAAGACAGTATATGTCTCGTTCAAAAAGTTAGAGATATGCCCCTTCCCTTTATTAGGATGCGCCGTAGCATAATTCAAAATTCAATCATATTTGTCTGCGGAGCTCATTTCTTCACTATCATCGAGCGAGAACTAGACAAAAGTGTACAGTACCATTTAAAAAATTATTTAAACTGCCTCGTTAAAATTTAAGAATTTGCTTTATTTAAAAGCATATTTAGCCAAAAATAATAACAAGTGACGTAATTGCTAAACATTTTCGTCTAGTACTGTACATTTCTAGCCGATCTCCTAAGCCCGCCCATCGAAAGCTCTGCTCGTTCAAGCTTGTTCCAACTATTTTTGTCTTGCTCACGCCTAGTGTGTATTCTTTCTATCTTCGCGCAGATTTCTTCAAGGTCACAATTCTAACAAGTTGAAATAGACTGTACATAATGCCTTACTCAGTTATTTTCATCAATGGTTTGCTGATTGATAATTTAGATTTATCGACGCATTTTTATTTGAATTACTGCTATCAATCTGGCGTTATTCTGAGAAGTTGAAAGTGTCTAATAAGTCTTTTTTATGTAAAGACTATTTCAGCCAGACGAACACAATTAATTTAAACCATTCCGAGACGCGTCTTTCCTGCAATATTGGCGATGACAGTTAAATGGTTCTCTTGGCGGCTGAAACCCATTCCTTACCGTTAATACTTGTAAATTATCCTGTTTAGCATACACTTTGCTGAATAATATAGATAGTTATTCCTCGGTTACAGCATCATGTGCCTACACAACAAACAATCAATGTCTGTACCTTGAAATATGTAGCGCAGTTGCAAATTTAGAAATGCAATTTCGCATGCGAAAACAGACCGTAATAAGATTGAAAAGACGATACAAATTACGCACCGAAAAAGCATGTTCCACTTTTTGTCGAGTCGTAGTTTCTGAGATTAAGAGAACGCGAAGGACTAGGTCTATGAAGCCCTGGGGATGTAGATGAATATTAGGGTAAAGTTGTGAGAACTGATGCTGTTTTGATTCGGGTGTAAAGGCAGTCGTCGGTTGGAGTTAGACTGGTCCAGGAGATGGAATACCTCATGTTAATGAAACGTTAGGTGGCAACTCCAATCGACGACGGCTTTAGACCCGGATCAGGATCTACTTGTCGTGAAATTGGTAAAGGCACCAATTTGTCAATATTGGGAAAGATGGATCAGTCTTACTTGTATAATATGAAGTACAGTCTACTCTGGATAATTCGAACTTCGAGGGACTCTTAAAAATATTACGAATTATCGAGTGTTTGAAATATCAAATGGTTCGAAGTTTAATCTTTCGAACTTTTAATCTGTATACAACGAAAGAGTAACAATAACTGAAACATAACTAAACAAACCAATTCGTGCGGAAGTGTGTGTCAAACTCATCATAACAAAAACAAGCGTCCTCCTTTCATGGGTTTCTTCAGTTTCGGGAACAGGAAATACTCACAGGGAGCTAAATCTGGGGAATACGGTGACTGTTATTATTAGTGTTGTTTTTGATCAAAAATTCGCGCACAAATAACAATGTGTGAGCAGCGGCATTATCATGGTGCAAAAGTCAATTTTTGTTCTTCCACAAATCCAGGTGTTTCTGGCGGATTACTTCGCACAAATTGCGCATAACTTACAGGTAATACTCCTTCTTGACCATTCTACCCCAGGAACTCATGATGATGATCACCACGCCCCTGCAATCGAAGAAAACTGCAAGCAAAACCTTCACATTCGACCTAACTTGACGCGCTTTTTTCGGTCTTGGCTCGTGTGGCAGCTTCGATTGGGATGATTGAGCTTGGGCTTCCACGTCATAACCACAAACTCATAATTCGTCACCAGTTATGACCCTCTGGAGCGAATTCGGGGCGTCGCGAGCAGAGTCCAAAAGCTCCTTACAGATGTCAATGCGATGCTATTTTTGGTCAAAATTGAGCAATTTTGGTACGAATTTCGCGGCGACTCGTCTCATTCCCAAATCATTGATAAAAATCGAATGGTAGGAGCCAATCGAAAAGAAAAGGTTAAAAGCGTTCGAAATGTGGTGTTACCTGCGAATGATGAGGATACCGTGAATAGGGAAGGTTATAAATGAGGTATTAGAAAGAGTAAGAGAACAGAGGACTCTATGGAAGTCAATAAGAAATAGTAGAACACCTTCTCAGGCATGAAGGTCTAGTCAGAGGCATATTAGAGGCAAAAACGGGAGTTAGGATGGGTAGAGGTAGACTTAGATTAGATTAGTTTTAGGGAAATGCGAAGATTAGCTCAGGATAGGAACCAGTCCAACCTGACTTAGGACTGACGACCTTATGATGATGATGATAATGAAAAGGATTTTGACTGTGGGTTTTTTACTCCTGAACCAGTAAATATGTACGGCGTTCCTCAAAAATGAATCTAAGCGCCATAAAATAATACAAACGCCTTGCAGTATTAAATGACTAAAAATCGTAGTGGAATTGGCTAAAAATTAAAAATTACCTTGACTATCATTATTCTAATATTATTTTAAAAACACCGTACAAATAAAATTTATCAAAATATCCCACTTCAAAAGTTAGAGTTTGATTCNAATCGTAGTGGAATTGGCTAAAAATTAAAAATTACCTTGACTATCATTATTCTAATATTATTTTAAAAACACCGTACAAATAAAATTTATCAAAATATCCCACTTCAAAAGTTAGAGTTTGATTCACCTGCATACCCCGTGTGCCGCCCAAAATTGACGGTATATTGCTTAAAGTTGTCTCGTATGGTACTACAATTCTATATATATAATTTATGGTGAGTAATTTCGCCCCTTCGATTTTTAGCATGGACTTGTAGTCTGTTATAACAATACATAGATTATTTGTTGAAAACGAGCAAGTATATTTTATTTATTTTACGAAATCGTTTCACTGTCTCTAATGTATGTGTGTATTTCGAAATTTTCCTGTTTCACGTTGGTGTGACGAAACATGCTGTGTGTCGTAAAATTTACGAGGGATTTTGTAATGGGAAATGTATGTCAAGTTTTTTTAATTTTTTTTTTGT